GCTTTTAGACTACTGTTATAAAAGCCTAAAAATAATTATGTTCCACCCATTAATTCAGCTGTTAAGATGTTATACACCATGAAACAGCAGTAAAAACGCTCTAGATAACCCCAACAAATTGAAAAGCATTTATAATTCACTTCCTGACATAGTCTCATTGTTAAATGGGTTAAATTGGTAACTTTACTCCTATTTTGACTTCTATGGCAGTGTTGCTCTAAGCCTTTAAACATTGTTTTTTTTTATTTCAAAAACAAATGCACAACAGAACCAACTCCAAATTGTACATGTGAAACTGCCTTTGTTTTTCTTTATTCCCTTATTGAAACTATGCCCCTTTCACTTCTGTCTGGCTCTTGAAAATGTACTAAATCAAGGTATATAACATCCTCTCCTTTAATTTCCTTCCTGACTCCTGCATGTCTGTCATTTGCACTCAAAGTAGTTTGAATTTATTTATTTTTTTTACATTCTAGATTTTCATATTGATATTACAGATAATTTAAAAGGAATACCACATTGTTTTAAATTGGACATATTGTCATGGTAAAATAGAAGTGCATTGTATTTTTATTGGGGGATTTTAGTTGGTAGATAAAAGATACTAGATCTCTGTCATATAAAATAAGTGAGATCCAAAGTTAAAATGACAAGGCTTAAATAAAAAAACAACAATAATATAATCGGGAACTCTTATATTCAAACAATATAACTGACTCATTGAGGGAAACATGACAATCCTGTAACTACAAAGACTGAAAAGGACAGTGTTTGAAGTTGCTCTTTGTGTAATTCTGGTATAAAAATAAAAAAAGAAGACAAAAATGGTTTTAGAAAAATAAATTATCACTGGGTTTTATGTAACATTCCTTGTTCATTTTGTTCAACTGGGTGAGAATAGATTATTGTGACTTATTTTAAGATCGCAGAATAGATATTCTACTTATTTGAATCCCAATTCTTACCAAGCAGAACCAGTTTCACATTGGTTTAAACGATTAAAACCCCATCCTTTTCCCTATTGTTGCGTGTTTCACAGCCCTCAGTCCTTTGCCAGACACCGGAGAGGGCAAGCGTCTGGCTGGGAAGGACCCGTCTAACTGGGGTGTGGAGGACGTAGTGTGGTTCATCAAAGAAGCTGACCCTCAAGCTCTGGCACCCCACGCTGAGACTTTCCGGAAACATGTCAGTGTTTATTTTCAAATTTCCCGGTTTAGTGTTGTGCTTTTTTGGAGGAGGCAACTCTAGGGGTATGCCTATAATCATTACTCATAAAAACTGTAGATGTGACCTTCTGTTAGACAGTTATAAACAGTTTATTTCTAAACGCCACTAATTAACCCTCCAAGCAATTGTAAGTTATCATAAATCCAGATTGACTGGTTCCAAGGCTGATCCATTTTATTAGCTAATCCTAGAATTACAAAGACCAAAATAGATATACCCTCTCAGTCATGATAACTTGAAACTCTTAAATGTCATAATCATTTTGGGAAACCTGACTTAATTAACATTAGTTACTTTTGCATCAGATGGTGTTTTTACACATTGTGAAATAATATTCACAAATAATCTTCCTCTGTGAACCTCCAGACTAATCATGTAACCTAAAGCATTTTTGGTCACATATAAAAGTAAAGTGGCATTAATAACAAAACAAAAAAACACTTTAAGTTAACACTTTTACTTGGATTTGAATACTGCCTTACTCAACTGGTAGATATTTAGTCTGTAACCACCTGTGTGTCAGACCTTCCTCTGCTTCATACAGGAAGGTCATTGGTGGTGAACTGTGTTCTACTTCTATTTCCTGTGAAAATAATGATCATCTTCTGTGTAAAACTGAAGACAATTGCAAATGTAACACCTTTTTAAGTTCATAAAATATTCTTGTTTTAAGATGGTAGGAAATAGCTTTTGTTTTAGATGTCCTTACAGCAAAACCTCACTCCAGAAATGAGGATTCGTTTCTTTGGTGTATTAAAGAAACATGATGTGTTTGGTATGTGTGATTTAAAAAAAAAAAAAAATTATATTCAAGGTTCATTTTACAATCAATATTCATAAGGGGCTGTGTTGTGTTTCAGGAAATAGATGGAGACGCGCTGTTGTTGCTAAAAAGTGAGATGATGATGAAGTACCTGGGACTGAAGCTGGGACCGGCGCTCAAACTCTGTTACCACATCGACAGGCTCAGACAGAGTCGCTTGTAGTTTCCTGTAAGAGAACTGAAGGCTCTGGCTGAAAAACCCCACACCTCAGTGTCCTGAAAACAAGGTGGAGTGGAGACTTTGGTGCTTTATCTGTGTCTGAACCAACTACTGTTAAAAGACTGGACATTTTTTATGTACTTACAGGGAGTATTTGCAACTTTGTTTACTTAAAATTGGAGTGGCTTTAAATTGTAAATAGTTTTGCTGCATGCAGACATCAACTAATGTGAATTATCTGGAGCATTAAACTACGCAGGTAACAATTGTGACCACAGTTATTAGCTAAAGGTCTATATATGCAATTATTTATTTCAAACTATACATGTTTGTAACAGTGAAAAACATATTTAAATTCTCGCTTTTAAAAAACGATCTAATAGTGAAAAGCTGCTGGGATGTTATCTGGGTTCTGCTGTTAGAAAAATAAATAGTGGGGGAACATTTTAACACAGAGACTGCTTTATAACACAATAGTTTAGCTGTGTTTTTTTTTTTTTCCAACAAAAGCTGCCTTTAAAAGGTTATTTTTGAAAATATTTCACTCATTAAACTTGGTGCTACCAGTAACATACAGTGTTTTCTTAATATCTGGTTTTGCCTTTTACAAAGGAGGCCATTCTGTTTCCGCAATACCTCATTTTCATGCCATTCTGATCATAAATGCCTCAACTAAAGGAACAATTGATCATAACATTATAAAAGAAAAATTGGTATGTAGCATTAAGAATTTTCTAATGCAATGCTGTATGACAAACCTGATAAACTTCATAATGTAATATCATCAAACTTGTTACATTTTTTTTTTTTTGGAACTTATGACAAAGTTTTGATTAAACCTCTTTTTTAAAGCTTTTATACCAAACTGGTTATTTGTATTTATATATGGTGCAGAATGTTATGACCTCTTTATGTTTGTACTTCATACTTTGCCAATAAACCCTGCTTAATTGTCAAGCACATGTATTATTATCCAATTGGTTCCTGGGTTCCAAACTTAGGAAATGTCCTATTTTTGGGTTTTGGGACCTTTGATAGACTATTGCATGTGTTTTGGAGATAAGAGAAATCTCTGTAAAGATGCAACAGGGTGGCCATAAGGACCTGGCTTCCTTTCCAATAGTGTGTCCATCTATTAATTTTTCCAGACATTTACCAGCATGACCTTTACTGCTTTTCTGGGGATGGCATCCAACACTTGTGCAGACTTCTTGCTCCTAATTCAGCACCGCACCAACCTAAGCGGAGCCTTAACCTTTACACAGGGGATCTGTGTTGGCCTCAGATGTATCACTAGTGGTATGTTCCTGCATCCAGAATGGAAATGCTGAAAATCTTAAAGACTATTTCCGGCACCATCAGAAGGATATATGTGCATCCTTATAACTTTTCCCAGCAGCAGATGAATGAACTACATCAAGAAGGGATTCTACAAAATTGCTGGTAACATAAATCAGGTTACACATCACAAAAGACACCTCAGAACAGGTGGGCAACTTTTTCATTTTTAATAGACCGCAAACACATCAAGATAAAAAGCACATGAATGGAACTTTGTTAACAAAAAATCCCAGTGTATAATTAGAAGTGAGTTATGGTTTGGCCTGTCAAATGCACACATTTATTATGTGCATTAAATGACCTAAATGCATATTATTGCTTCACACTATATATGATGCTAACTGCATCTTCAGCAACATATTTGATTCCAGAACATGTCCTTTAAAGCCTTTAAAGCAGGCATCCCCAACCTCGTTCCTCGAGGCCCGCTGTCCTGCAGGTTATAGAGGTTTCGTTGCTCCAGCACAGCTGATTTTAATTGAAAGCTGATTAACAGGATTTTGGTCTAATGCAATCATTTATTCATCCTGGCCCTTAAATTAAACAATTTAAGGGCCAAGTTCCTTACTGGTCATTACTTTTTTCTCTTTTAACACTTGAAAATTAAAGGATCAAATATGTGTCGATACGCCTACTAAGTCATTTGTACAAGTATTTTGTATTTATAATTGACAATTTATGCAATTATCACTTGAAAATGTTGTCTTATTTAATTTTGACCCTCTTTGGTCCAGTCATATTAATTCCGTACGAATATTGACCAGATGTGAAACAAAAAAGGTGATAAATCATACATCTGCTGCTCGACAAAGTTTCTATGCCAGTTGCCATCTATGATATACCTGGGGTTCGATGTCCATTCTCCGATATTTAGGTCACAGGCTTAAAGCATTATTCTACAGTCTATTCTACAGAAAGACTTGAAAACCATGGCATTGTTTACACCTATGACATGTTACAATATTAGCTCCCATTGTTAATTATTACGTTTGAAAAAAATGACAATTGACTCATTTTGTTACTTACAGTAGTTTAGTTATTGTTGTTCTATATAAAACCTCTGAGACACTTAATTAAACTTCTGCAGTTTTACATATATTAATATATTTTATATAATAATATATTTTTATTATTTATACATATATATATATATATATATATATATATATATATATATATATATATATATATATATATATATATATATATATATATATATATATATATATATATATATATTGTAAAAAAAAATATTAGAGGCTGAATACCAATGCAAACAGAGTTTTAAAAAGTGGGGTTGCGTATATGTTTTTCAATTTCGTGTTGTCTTAACATTATTTATAGATGTAGTCTTTATTTCCTATTTTGTTTTAAAGATTTTGGTAAAGCCAAATAAAAACAAATTGGAACTTTATTTTGAAAAGAAAAGCGCAGACACCTCCTATTTCCGGTGTCCTGGGTCTTACGCAAACACACGCTACAGTCTGGGAGGTCAACATGGGAGACATCTCAGAGAGGACCTTGCAGGTAGCCGTGGTTGTTTCCTTTGCTGTAGGCTTCCTGTCGGGCTGGCAGGCCAACAGAATGAGGAGGAAATTCCTGGACTGGAGGAAGAAGCGGCTTCAGGATAAACTGTCTGAAACGCAGAAGAAGTTGGATCTTGCTTGAATGGTAAGGCGACGTCAGAGTTCAGCTCAGGTCTTTAATCTGAAGGAATTTATAAATATGAACACAATTTGGATTTTTACACACTTAATTTGCTATCCTATCTCATTTGACAGGTTGGCTGTTGGTTCAGAGAAGCTGGTTCAACCCGTTTGTCCTTCTTCATGTTTGGTTTAACCACACCTGGCGAAGCAAGTCTGTTCTTGATACTCTCCAAGCTCCCCAAAACAAACCGTTGTTAAAAGAAATATCTGTTGTGGATATGTAAAATGTAAAAGTTGGACATTTCTCTTTGTATCAGTGGAAGTTTTTCACATATGAACAAATAAATTATTGTATTTTTCTTTTTTTATTGTAAAGGAGACATTTTGTGTCTAATACACATAGGATTTAACACGGCGGTGTGTGAATAACAAAGAGATCTCCTGATTTACCCTATTTAATGTTCAATGTGGCTAAATTTGGGTTTAAATATTACACAGCACAAACACTGAGTGTGACATCTGCTGGATAAAAAGGGTATTACAACAAATATGGCTGCACACAGAAATTCAAGGGGCAATTATAATTAGTGTTGCATCGATACCGATACCAGTATTGGGCAGGGCCCCGATCCAGCAGTAAAATGGTGGCATCGGTATCGGTGAGTACCAACAAATAAGGCACCGATACCATTTTGAGAGCCAAAAGTTTATTCAACTATTGTCACCCATTCCAGGTAGGCAATAAAAAGTTCTATTGGATTCACTTTTTATTAGTCCTTTTCCTGCTTCACAAAGGTAGGCAGCAGCTTGACAAAGCCATGATGGCAATTATTTTACATCCAAGTAGTATGAAGTTCTTCATACAAACACATCAATTTCAAACGGATGGTATCGGCCAATACTGCACAGCCAGGTATCGGGGACAAAAAATGGCATTTGCGCAAAACTAATTATAATCAGTATAAAAACTATAATAGCACATAACGGGCTAGATCAGGGTATACAGAATCTTATAGTATACAGAACAACATTTAAAGCAGTGGTGGCAAAGGGGTTTGGAGGGCCGGATCCTCTACATCAGTGGTCCCCAACCTTTTTTGCACCACGGACAATATTTTCACGGACCGGCGGGGGGGTTAAATATGATCAAGTAAAATGATACGACTGGCATAAAATCAAATACAAACAGCATAAAAATAAAACAAGCCGATCCCATCTAGGCGTAATGGGAGACAATGACAGACGAAGTGTGCTCCTGATGTCCAGTCTGCTCCGTAGCTTTGTTTTGGTTGCTGTAACTGCAGAAAATCCCGCTTCACAAAGATAGGATGTTATAGATCGGATGAGTCTTGAACTGAATTAACCTGTGTCAAGAGGCACAGATGCACCGACTGATGTAATTGGGAGAGAATACCGCAATTTTTTATATTTTTCAAAATAAAACATCACTCAGACTCTGATCGTTGATAAATTATATATATATATACACATTTTTCTGTGCGGCCCGGTACCAAATGACCGACGGACCGGTACCGGTCCGCGGCCTGGTGGTTGGGGGCCGCTGCTCTACATGGCTGCCCTTGGTTTGAGTCTGTGGATATCTACTGCATGTCTTCCAACTTCTCACTCAATTACATCTCCTGACAGCATACAGCCACAAGTGCCAAAAATATAGAAACAAAAACATCTAAAGCAGGGGTCTTCAATGTTTTTTAGGCCAAGGACCCCTAAACTGATGGCGAATGGAGCGGGGACCCCCTAATTATATATATTGTATGAAATTGTGTTGTATCAAACTGGTCCTATAGTCATTCTATTACAGATGGATTAATGTAACAAAAGTAATTTCTTCCTGGCATTATTAAAGTATTCCTGATTCAGATTCCTGGTTGATGGGACAGGTGTTGTGAATGAAATGGTGTCTAGCTTGAAAGAGCTCCTGTGTGTTGCTGAATGTGTGCATTGATATTTGAAAGACATCTTCTGCCTCCATTTATCTGTTTACTGCAGTGTGTTGAATTCATGGTAATGTGTATTTAAGGACATTTGAATTAGCGGAAAAAAATTGCAACAAAAAAAAGAAAAAAGTCTAATCAACCAGTATGCTATGACTGTGTCAGCCTAAATCAACAAATGCATTGAGGTCGTCTGCATCAAAAAGAACATCACGAACCGGGCCAACCAACCACCCTGGATAAATGGAGAGGTTCGGAAATCACTAAAAGTATGGGACTCAGCTTTCAAGTCTGGTGATAAGGAGGCACTGAGAACCGCCGCTACCAACTAAAACCATGCCATCACATCAGCGAATCAGAACCACAGTCAGAAGATCCAGGATCTTTTCCACAAAAGCAGCAACACCAGGAGGATGTGGAAAGGCATTCAGATGATCACAGAACACACCCTACCCCCGGTAGATGCAGCAAACACTGACTTCCTAAATGAACAGAACAACTTCTTTGGAAGGTTTGAGGCACTAAACAGCACCCCAGCAGTGAAAGCTGTTCCACACCAGGGGGAGGAGACACTAAACCTGGACGTAGCTGAAGTGAGGAAAACTCTGAGGAGAGTCAACCAAAGGAAGGCCCCAGGGCCTGATAATATACCTGGGCGGGTGTATAAGGAGTATGCAGATCACTACTGCCTGCTGGGAAGAGGCTTCGAAGCATCCGATGAAGGTCCAGCAGATTCTAGAACAGTTTCTTCCCAATGCCATTAGACTGCTGAATGTTATGTAAAATGGGTAATTTTAGTTATAAAAAAAAGAAAATAATTAACGTTAGAACTGTAAAAATACAGTCATATGTTTATATTACTATTTTTTAATGTGTTTAGTGCCATTTTCAAGGCTGCACTTTAAAAAATGAAAATATCTAGAGCTGTTTTAAAAGTAATTTCTTTTTTGTTTACACTTCAAGTCTAAGTCATCTAAATCACTTAACTTTGTCAAAGTACAGATAACGGGGAGGAGTGGCAACAATCTACTAAGTTTAAAATAATCTTAATTATAAAATGTTTCAATATTTTAGCATACCGGTAAATTAAAATACACACTTTACCAGTCATGCAAGATTCTGTGTCATATTTAACTTTATGGCAACATTTAAAAACACTGGATTGTTATTAGATAAAACAGAACAAAAACATAGATTGAGCGAGGATACTTAAAAATAACCCTCCATGAACAACATTAGGACTCTGGGTAATGGATTGGTAAGTCCGATTTAAATGCTGCTTAAGATTCCTTAAACCTTTTCCTGGTGATGTTCCTCACTCTAAACTTGTCTGTAGGGGGAGCTGGTGCTCTTTACCAATCCATGCTGCAGAAAACTACTTTCTGTGCCTGCAGCATTCCAAGCTCTGACTGTGAAATTAGATCCTTTGAGCAGATCTCTCTTTTTCATCATCACCAGATGAGCAGCCCTATTACTATGTCTCAACAAGCTTTTGACACAACCTTAAAATGTCCTTTTTTCCCCAAAGCACTACATCAGGGAGTTGAGAGGCTAGTGAAGAGGGGTTATCAGTGTGGGGCGAAGGAGCTTAACTCCTATTTCACTTTATATACATATCTTTACCATAATGCTCCACATTTGCAAGGACACCATGCATAGCTTTTTTGAGGAGATTTTAAGAGATGATCCAGCACTCTCTATTAGCACGAGATAAATGTGCTAATTTCAATGGGTGACTTTTAATTAACTTAATTGCTTTAATTAAAACTCTGCACTTAGATGCAGTATGGGTCATATTCTGCAAAGGTAATTTGAATATTCCACATTAAGTTGTTTGAAAAAATCTTTTTTTAGATTGAGACTGGCTCTTTTCTGCATTTTTAATTAAGCTGGTGCATGCAAAAGGTTCATTATCTTACAAATTTGATGCTGCAAACATAAAAGCTTTTTGGAAGAAGGGCCATTGTTAAAATAAATCCATCAGTTCTGCTTGTAAGTAGAAATAAGACAAGTAGGGAACAAACCAAACAACTGGATGGACGTATTCTGGTCAGAGGAGGGCAAAATTTGGTTGACATGAAAAGCTCTGTACACGGAGGAAAACTAACACTAAATATCACACTTAACACTTGGTGAAGCAAGGTGGTGGCAGCATCATGCTGCAGGAAATATTTCTTTAGAATATGAAGCTTATTTGATTTCACATAGAGTTTTGATCAAGGATAATTCTTGTATTGGGAGGACAAGTGAAATTCCAGACCTAAATCTAACTGAGAATCTGTTGCATGGCTTAAACATTAATGTTCACAAATGTTCCCCATCCAGTCTGAATGAGGTTGAGCTCATTTAGAAAGACAAATATGCAAAAGTTTCAATTGCAAGACGTGCCAATCTAGGTGAGATTAACACTTTCTGCTACACTGTGAACAAAATGAATCACAATGTTTAGTCAAACCATTCAAACAACATTCAATTATATGTTTTATATGGAGGTTTTGTTGTTATATAGGGGGAAGAAAAATGTTCAAAGATTCTTTAGAACATATTTTTCAACTTAACTGTCAGAAAAAAAAGGGGAATTAAAAAGATTAAGCACAGCTCAGCAGGGATGTTAACGCCTGAGCATGTGTGCCATGAGCAGAGAAATGTGAAACTTTTTTGTGTCTTGAATTCTAGACAGGGTGTTATTGTCCCTCAGTGTCTAATGCTGCTACCAAATTGTGATGAATAGCTTTCTGGAGTGCAGTGCGAGCGCATGCATGTGTGTCGACGCCAACTGTCTCTTCCCTGTTTATTTTGAGACAAGCTGCGTGTTATTGTGTGCAACAGGCGGTGCTGGTGCGTGGGGCTGGGATGCATTTTTCAAAGCGAGGTGAGGCAGCTTAGTGACTCGAGGAGATAATGTGCGGCAGAAAGGGTTCACATTGACTGCTGTGATTGATCTGATTTTCCTAATTGGCACAAAGACCTTAGAGCGTGTGTCCTTCGTCTATATTGAGTGTGCTCAGGGAGTGTCATGTTTAATAAGCTCCTTGATTGGCTTTCTGGTTGTGCGATTGTGCCCTCTGGCCATCGGGGGAGTGGGAGAGAGCAGAGGACAGCAGAGCAGAAGAGACAAGAGAGGAGAAAAAGGAGATTTTTACAATCCAAATGACAGAGGAAGCAGATAAATAATAAAAGACTTCTGCAGTGGTAGAAATAAATAGGTGTTATATGAGGTGGAAGGAAATGGAGAGAAAGACTGTAATGTGATGACATCTACCAGTCCCTATGTGCTGCTGGTTCTTAATATTACTCGGTAGTGAGGGTTTCTGAAGCAGTTAAACCACACTCACATGCCTTTAAACAATTTAGGAATTTAGATGAGGATTTTATGTATTTATTATCTTAATTAGCCTGAATGTAAGGCACACCTCGGGA